ACATTTAAATACTGTATATACACACGTCAGTTTACAGTAGCAACTTTATGGAGTTTGGCAGTTTTCTTACAGATTATTTAACTCTGTAAATGCAGTATATCCAACTGGATATATTATGACCTGCACCAAGGGTGAGGTATTACTGCACCAAGGCGGTTTCCCTGTGGCTCCAGGCCTGCAGGTTTGCAAGACAAATGTACATCCAGATTTCTCCCTGTGATTGCATGGGTTCTCTCCGGGTTCTCCGTCTTCCTCCCACAGTCCAAAGACATGCAGCTTAGATTAATTGGTGACTCTATATTGCCCGTAGGAGTGAGTGAGCGTGAGTGTGTGTGGGCGTTTGTCTACATGTCAGCCGGTGATAGACTGGCGACCTGTCCAGTCTATCACAGCAGGGATTGGCTCCAACCCCCCGCGACCCTATTCAGGAATAAGCTGTATAGATAATGGATGGATGGATGTACATCCAGATGTAATACAAAGGCGTCACCTGTCGGCTAAATGTAGAATTGGTCCCATCGAGTCCCGGAAAATCTCTAACATTCTGAAGGTTTTCCAAAACACGCGCCTACCATCTGCTGGAAAATTATGAAATTGCAACTATTCATTTTTATGACCTGTTCCTTTTAAGGTGGACTTCCATAATCTACCCTTTCAAATACTTTTTTCTTTTCTTTTTCCTGCCTTGGTGCATTAAAAGTAGGAAAATGTGTCATTTTGTACTCTGGGATCTATTTTATTTTTTTTTTGTACTTGGTAAAAAAAATAATAACAATAAACCAGCGAGGTCTTCACATTTGTTATATCTGTGTGATATTTTTATAGTTTGACCACTGTTTTATTAATAGTTATAGGAATTTAAGGTTTTTCTGTAATTTCAGGAATATTCTTCAAAATATCGAATTATTATTTTATTTCGTTTCTGTAAATACCTGTTCCTGAGTAATCTATGCATTATTTTTTCCCTTTGCTGTGAATGGGGTTTCACTTATTTGTGATCATGGGATCTCTGCTTTGCCAGTTATTTCTAATGAAAACTCCAGCATAAACTCTTTCTGTGTGGGGGGCGGGAGAAAAGCCGGAGAACACGAGCTCTGTCTGCCTTGGTTTGAGTGCAGAGGGAACGTGATGGAGGAACCGATCCACCTTAAGACCCTAGTGGCCCCTTTCTGCACCCTCTCCTCAGGGAGCCGAGCCGCCTTGACATAGAGGAGATGAGTACGGCTTCCGGGGCCATGGCCAGCAGGACTTGCTGCTATCTCCCCTCACCAGTTGCAACACTTACAGCACTCCACATCAGCCACTGCTGTTCGCCACCTTAGTTTATGTTGAAACAGGCTGAGGATTAATAAGTGGTAGGCTACGTTAGAAAGTAGAGTACTGCGTGCCAAAGTTACAGATTTGTTTTTATATAATTCACTCATCAGAAATACAGTCATGGTGCGTGTACGGCATTTGTGTGAAAATATCTCTTAATTTGTATGAACCGTAGTAATAAAATATGATAATACTAAAGGGATGTGGGGTTCATCCACCTCTTCTGACAGACAAGCAGAGTCTGAAGAAGAAAAACGTTCTGTGTCCAATGTTTTCTCTCCTCCACAATGATTGATTATTATGGCAACGCTCCAGGTTGCTGGTGCGTTTTCGTTGCGCACGGGATTTGGTCACTCTCAGATCAAAGGGGCCTCAGGAAAGGGGTGGTCCCGGGATAGGGGGATATATAGGAGGGACCGGCTCTATTCTGACTGCAAGGCAAAAGCAGAGAACAAACTAGACAGACGAGCAGCGCAAAAAGCCGCCCCACACTCAAAGAGAGGGTTAAAACCTGAGCCATCTCCTGGGTTTTGCAGCTGGTGAGACCTGTTGGATTTTATTGCTCAGATCCAGCAATTTTATTTTCATTTAATGAAACGACTTTTTGCAACAAGTCAGACCTGAGCATAACTTTAAATGAATTTTGCACTGGATTTTATCTCTTCTTTAGATTGTTATGCGTGTGCGTAATTTTGGGGACAGTTTCCTGGAAGTTCAAAGAGGCGAGGTAGCTTATAGTGGAAAAACCTTTTAAGGATTTACTTGCTTCCTTGTAGAGACTTGTCAGTTTTTCTTTCCACTTACCGGAATTCAGTTATATGATGTGGTTTTTACACATTTCCATTGGTTTTATTCTGTGCGTCGGCTCGGCGCACAGCGCCTGGGAGGAGTGCACCGTGGTGCCGGTCAGACTAGACCCGAGCTCCTGGTCGGAGAACAGACCCGAACCGTGGCGGACTCTCTCTGCAGAGGAGAAGGAGAAGGAGGCGGAGATGAGGGTGTATCGATTGGACGTATTTGGCAGGGAGTTGGTCTTGCAGCTCGAACTCGACCAGACTTTCTTGGCTCCGGGTTTTGTCTTCCACATTGTAGGTAGTCCCGAGTCCGAACAGGCATCCAAGAGCGGAGCCGAGCCTGGTTGTTTCTTCTCGGGCACGGTGAATGGAGAAGAACACTCCGCCGCAGCTCTCAACCTTTGCCACGGACTCAGGGGCGGATTCTACTTTCAAGGTGAAGAGTACTTAATCCAACCGCTCAACTCGAGTGATTTCCTGGGCACTGAGGAAGATGTCCATATCATCCGCCGGAGAGGTCGGGCAGCTTTGGCTGAGGAGGGGAGCTCCAAATGTGGGGTCAATGAAGACGAAGAGAGGGTGCCAAAGAATCTGGGGGGAGAAGCCAAACACAAAGCCGCTAATGGAGACCAGACAGGTAAGGTATCAGAAATACTATGCCCATTTGATCACTCATCGTATCACAGAGAACGCTAATTACTAGACCCGAAACTTTAAAAACCAAGGAATCACTAAGAAGGCGATTTATTTACTCTGTGGGATGTTGTGAAATGCACCCAGCTTATCTATATCTGTATACAAACAGGCAAATTACTTATCTTCCACACGTAACTGAATACAGTGAAATTGCTGTCAGCTGGAGTTGTACGTGCTCCAGGGTGCACAGCATGCGTAGTGGACTCCGCAACCTTTTTGACAGCGCCTTTTCCCCACTATTCAGAGAAGAAAGGAAAGGGAGGGGAGGCTCCTCCAAGAAGGCAGAAGAGGAGGAGGAAGGATGGGAGGAGGGGAGGGGAAGGGAGGGGAGCAGTGAGATTAGAGCCAGCCAGAGCCCGGCAGCCCTGCGACGTTTAAACTCGCCTCCTGGTACAATTTTCACCGACATTTTTCTCCGAAAAGGATTTTCCCCTCTCTCACTCGCATAATATTCCACCCGAGATGGTCATTTAGAAATGTGGATCCCGAGGAGGAGGAGGCGCCTGTGATGTGATACTGAGTCACAACCGGGCTCCACCACACACGTCCGGAAGCCTCAGAAAAGTAGCCTGTCTAGCTGCTGTTTAGTGTTTTACTGTGTGAAGACTGTACCAGACAAATTGAAACATTACAAAAATGTCTCAAAGGTTACACTGCAGTGAATTTAAGACTAAAACATGATATCAGGTTATCTGACCTGTGAACCCAGTTTAGTCTGATCTTTATGTGTCTCACCCTCAGCCCACCACAGGACCAGGCGTTTTGTTTCCAGCCCTCGCTACCTTGAGATCATGCTGGTAGCTGACCAATCCATGGCTGAGTTCCACGGCGCTGGGCTCAAACCCTACCTCCTGACAATCTTGGCAGTGGCATCCCGCCTCTACCGTCACCCTAGTATCCACAACTCCATCAGCCTGGCGGTGGTGAAGCTGCTGGTGGTGTATGAGGAGGAGCGAGGCCCTCAGGTGTCATCTAATGCTGCTATGACCCTCCGAAACTTCTGTCAGTGGCAACGGCAGCACAATCCACAGAGTGACCGCCACCCTGAGCACTATGACACGGCTGTGCTTTTCACCAGGATGGTAAGCTGGTGTGGAAGAAGAAGTGTGGAAAGTGATAATGACAGAAAAAGAGGAGGAGATGCTGCTTTCAAGATTATTCAAAGATTAATTTTGCTCTCTGTTTGTCTCATCAGGACCTATGTGGTGCCCACTCTTGCGACACTCTGGGCATGGCAGATGTTGGCACAGTATGTGACCCCAATAGAAGCTGCTCAATTATTGAAGATGATGGACTGCAGGCAGCATTTACTGTGGCCCATGAACTCGGTAAGTAGAAAAAAAAATCCATGCTTTTGTGTGTAAGAATGTTAAAAACAGATAATTACACCACTTATATTAGAGGTGCTCAAAGAACCATACCTTATTTTATGTCTGTCCTTCAGGCCATGTCTTAAACATGCCTCATGATGATGCCCAGCTGTGCTCTGGCGTCAATGGTGCCCACTGGGGCTCTCACATGATGGCTTCAACACTGTCCAACCTGGACCAGCAGCAGCCATGGTCCCCCTGCTCCGCCCTCATGGTCACCACCTTCCTGGATAACGGTCATGGTCAGTGCTTGCTGGATAAGCCAGTCAAACCTCAGCCGTTGCCCCAGCCCCTGCCTGGGATAGTCTATGATGCAGACCATCAGTGTCGGCTCACCTTTGGTGAAGATGCTCAGCACTACTCGAACCTGAGCGCCACGTGTGCAGCTCTGTGGTGCATTGTGACTTCATCCAATGGTTTGCTGGTGTACCAGACCAAGAATTTCCCCTGGGCTGATGGGACGCCATGCGGGCATGATAGCTACTGCCTGGCTGGACAGTGTCTCACTAAGAGCCAGGCTGCCAAACACCAGGTAGGAACCGAACCCAGTTATACTTCAACACCCAGAAAAGACTAGATAATTCATTAGCAGTTAACGTTGGATCAGTCACTATTTACCCCCAGGTCCAAATTGTAACAGCTATGACCCTGGTGCTTTCAGACTCCTGTCAATGGTGGCTGGGGAGTGTGGGGTCCCTGGGGAGACTGCTCGCGGACCTGCGGTGGAGGGGTTCAGTACTCATTCCGTGCCTGTGACAACCCTTTGCCCAAGAACGGAGGCAAGTACTGTGAGGGCAAGAGGATCCAGTACCATTCCTGTAACACGGAAGCCTGCCCTAATTCCAATGGTAAGAGATCTTTGTTTGAAGTCATTAATGTGGGATAAAAATGTCTTCTTAACACCTGAGATCTGTTGTATATAAATAATCTGCTATTAATGTTCTGATGAACCATGCACACTGGTGTAGCTGGCACTTAGCTCAGGGTGAAGTAGAAGTAAGTCTGACGTCTCTGGGTCTCTTTTTCAGGCCTGTCTTTCCGTGAGGAACAGTGCCTGGCTCACAACGACATGTCAGCCCAAGTATCACTGGGTTCAGGCGACGGTGTTGAGTGGGTGCCCAAGTATGCTGGAGTTTCACCCAGAGACCGCTGCAAGCTGGTGTGTCGGGCCAAAGGGACCGGGTACTTCTTTGTCCTCAAATCTAAGGTGAGCAGTAGCAGGTTATATTAATAGCCGCTGTGTGTATTTATTACTCTGTTTTAGAAGCGTGTTACTACATTGTCTGGGTCTTAGTTTATCTCATAAAAGCTTTCCTGCTTGTTCAGACCTGCAAGTTAAAGGATTAGCCATTGTTGTTTCTCTCAGCCCTCAGCCTACAGCCTCGCTAGGGAAAAGACTTTTACTTTTTACCTCCTGAGTCAGACTCTTATGTAACAGTCTTACTAGACATAACTCTAATGTTCCATTTGTATCTCTCTGCTGCCCCAAGGTGGCTGATGGCACACCCTGCAGCCCAGACTCCACCTCAGTTTGTGTTCAAGGCCAGTGTGTCAAGGCTGGATGTGATCATGTCATTGGCTCTAACCAGCGTTTTGATAAGTGCGGTGTCTGTGGTGGAGATGGTTCTACCTGCAAAAAAGTGTCAGGTTCTCTGGAGCATGCCAGGTGTGAGATCATTTTTTGTTTTACACAACAGTCTTTTACTATACACTGAAACCTGAAATTATATTTGTCCAAGCCCATCTTTATGACTAAGCTAATCGTTGTCTGTCTCTGTGTCAGGCCTGGTTACCAGGATGTTGTAACTATGCCTGCTGGTGCCACCCACCTGGATGTCAAACAACGTGCCCCAGCCAATGGTCGTCATGACAACAGCTACTTGGCAGTGCGTCGCCAGGATGGAACGTATCTGTTAAATGGCGATTACAAACTGATGACCATGGAAACGGACATCATTCTGCGCGGGTCACTGTTGCGATACAGTGGCTCCTCCGCCACCCTAGAGCGCCTCCGGAGCTTTGCCCCCCTCCCTGAGCCCATCATCATTCAGGTACTGTCTGTAGGAGACACTCCAAGGCCTCGGGTTAAGTACAGCTATTTCGCCCCTAGACCCAACAATGCTGCTTCCATCTCTAACAAGAGTGGGGCCCGCCGACAGTCCATCAATGCCATTCGAAAGATGGTTGGAGCGGAGTGGACCCTGAGAGAGTGGGGTCCATGTTCCCAGACCTGTGGAGGAGGCACACAACAGAGAGAGGTGGTGTGTCTGGACCCCCATGGCCATCTCTCCAGAGACTGTCCTGAGGAGCTGCGCCCCTTAGCCTCAAGGTCCTGTTCTTCCCAGCCCTGCCCATCCTGGCTTCTCGGAGAATGGTCAGTATGCTCCAAGAACTGCGGCCGTGGCTTCCGCAAACGTCAACTAAGCTGCATTGACCATGATGGGCGCACACTAACCCACGACAGCTGTGACTCCAAAGACCGGCCACGACCCCTACTGGAACTGTGCAATCAGGGTGCCTGTTAAGGACTGCTTCCACAATCATAACCTCCTGTCATCCACCCACTGTTCAGAAAGACATCAGATAAGACTTTTGATCTTCCTCCCTTGATCTGCCTGCTTTGCCAAAGAGGGTGATGAATGTGTACATCAAGACCAAAGAGTGCTACAGGTTTCCCTGGGTTTCATGTAGTCTAACAGGCCTGCATGTCAATGTGTCCACACTGACTGGGACTGTAACTCACAAATTTTGCCCCTTTCCTCCATCTATTTGGGGCCAGATGTTGAACCACCTAACTGAAGCAACAGAGACTGATTCTAGCAGTGGCACGTTTTGCCTCCCAGTAATGGGATGAAAGCATGGATGTTTCTGATTTCCTAAAAGAGCATGCTACTTACCATGCCATTGTCATGTCTGTGTGTGCGGGATCCGAGGCTGTGTATGTGTCTGTGTGTGTGTCAGATTTTAATGCATTTATATGTTTGTCCAAGCTGGGCTGGACAGACACATAAGGGTTGGGGTGAGGAGATTATTTCAGAACATATAAAGAAACAAATAAACGAGAATAGCTCATATTCTACTTGCCATCAGGTATGGAAAAGAAGCTAGGTCATAGCTATAGTGTTTATTTTCAAACTTGCCAGTCTACATTTATTTATCACAGACCTGTAGCACTTCATTTTTGTTTTTGCCAGCGGCACATCGTAACAGCCAGTTGCCTCTAAATGTCTCAATACACCATACTCTGTCCTTTAGCCATATCTTGCCCTTGGATACACAGCCATCGACATGGGACCTTTTTGAAAAACCAAAGAAGAGTGTGCGAGTGTGTATGTGTGCATGAGGAGTGTGTGGAGACATGAAGAGGGACTTGTCTCCTGCTACTACTTCATAAGTAAGTGTCTCCTGCCTTCTGCGAAGGTACCTTGGTGTTTTTCTATCAAATGTTGTTTTACAGAATATCCAAACATTATTTATTTTTGTACAGCCTGTTTAAAATATAATCATGTGGCTTTTTAAGAATATTATTTTTATTTGTTATTGAGATCACAGAAGGAAGTAGAATATATAGAGTATTTATACATTGATTTATATATATGGTCCTAGGTTCATGAATAAAATATCACACTGACTTGTGCAACTCTTGTCTCCAGACTGGTTTGTATTTTGATCTAGGATTTTCTATTTATCATTGACCCTTTGGCAAAATGCATTTCCATTACTGTTAACCATTACAACTAAAGGGATCATAACCCCTAACTTTAAAACATTTAAAGTAGTGAGGAAGGAAATGTACTTGATGATGGTTGAAAATTTAAGTTAGTCCTCACAAAGACAGAGCTCACAAGTGCAAGTTATGAGGAATTCTGATTTTTCGGATCCCAGTGAGCCGTAGAGGGCGCTGTTGGGCATCCACATCGGAGCTGTTGAGATGTGGTACATCCGCCGCCATATTGCTTCGGACAGTCTCCTCGTGCTGGCCAGTTCTAATAGTAGAAAATGCCAAAACTATGTGCTGTTTTTGGATGTTGTACTGAAAGAAATGTTAAAACCAAGCAGTTAGGAATGATATTTTACAAGTAAGACGTTCTTTTACAATATTTTACTTATAAAAGTGTTGAATATTATTTATTACAATAGGTATATTAACTTAATCTTTAGTTAACAAAGGTGACTCTTGTGCTATCACTTTCAATTGTATAAAACTGGTATAGGCCTTATTCTTTATTTCCAAAATTATGTACAGCATTATATCATGGCAGACATTTTACAGTGATGTAAGAACACAATATTATACTAAGTTTTGTTAAAATAATTACAAAGTATGAGTTCATTTAAAATATTTAAGAAAGATTTTTGTTACAGTCTACAAAAGATGAAGTATTTTGATATGAAAATCCTCATTTTTAGATCAACCAAGTATCCTGTCTCATAAATACACAACTGATATATGTGCAAGAAACCAAACAGCTGGAACATTGTAAATGACTGAGTTATTATTATTTTAACTGTGGATATACCTCCTGCCTTCTTCATCTCCCTGTGTATTTTTAGTTTTCCGACTCTACAATTGACAAAGAAAAACTAAATTGGTAAGCAAAATATCACTGTTAATGTCTCTGCCGGTAATAAAACTTCATTACAGTGTTGAAGATACATGTGGAAAGAATTGTGAATCATCACTGCTCAGTGGAGGTAGGTGTGGAGGTGGTATTTCCCAGAGCTAAATTATCTTCTTCCATTTGCCACCCTTGGTTTGTTTAAATTATAGCAAATTTGATCCGTTCTACAGAGGAAACAGATATAATACTTAAACAACAAAAGCTTTATTAGATGTCCAGGCAAAACATTAATTATAAAATGTCATTATTCCTACATACATATGCAGTCAGGCTTTAACCTTTTAACTCACTGCTTGCCAAGCGTTTGCAGTACTGTGGTTGGCGACTTTTAGGTAAAAATATATTTGGTTGAAAAATATCTTTACTGTATATCATGATCATGAGTTTACCAAAGTTAGAGCAACACCACTTTTGGATGGTGATATGTAAGACTTGCTAATGTTCACAGCATTGCAGGTGCCTTTAATTTAGCAATTTAATGATAAGTTTTATGCCTGTAGTTAAGTCAGTGCAAGGTAGCCCAAGTGATGTTTTGATTCACAGCAGGTGGAGGTATGAGGATGGTGGCTTTGCCTTTTTTGTCTAGGAACAAGAATAAATTAAATAGGCTACATATTACTGGATCAAGATATTATGCCCTAAAGGAATCTGGTAGTCAGAAATATTGTACCCTCCAACATGATCTGGTTCTAAGGCTTCCTGCTCCATAGGATACTTTCCTCTGCTTGGCCAGAGCCTGGGTGCAAGATCATTTTGTCCCTCTCCATTTGCCATTGGTCACCTGGATTGGGGTGTGTTTCCTTGCTCTAACGGGTTTGACGTGTGTAGTAGAAGTGTTAATGGGTTGAGGTTTTCTGGTTTTACCCATCTCAGACATAATGGCCTGGGGACAGATTCAACACCAAACATGAACCAGATCGTGTTGTTTTGGTTTCTGAAAATAGCGCTGACGCTGAAGACAGGTGTGCTGTGTGGCTGTGGGGCATCATAGTGTGATTCATCCATCACAGTAGATGTCGTGAGGAGACGGGGGGCGGGCACGCGCCCGAGCACGTGCACATACGTAGAAACTCATACGTTTAGACAGACAGGGACAACATAAACATACAGGTAATTCTTTCGAAATAAAAGCATGAACGAATGATAACCAGTAGTGGACCATAGCAACAGTGAATAATGGGTTGAAGACAATTTCAAAGATGCATCATTTGAACTTTTAGTTGTGGTTCTTATTTTGTAGACTTCAGGCTTGTGATGACAAATGATGTGTATCAGCATATCTACTTAATTGCATGGGGACGAGTAAGAGAGACTAGCTAAAGAGAATGCAGCGAAGTATCAGTTTATCTTAATTCAACCGTCATATGACATCAATTTAGTCATGAATTAGAATCTTATTTTGAAAATGACAACTAGAATCCCTTTTTCCATATTGTGCTGACTTCACCACCCCCCACCTCCCGGGACTCAACAGGGTAATTTGAGCAAACGGGGAACTTCGGAGGAGGGCAGCGAAATAAAAGCCTCAGCAGTCAGAGGTGTGGGCAGAGGACGCAATAGATCTACAGGAAAGACGTTCAGTCACACGTGGGGGAACAAACGGCGCTTCACTTTACACGGGAGCTACTTAACCCCCGCCAAAGTGATAGGGTGATAACGCGCAGTTCGCCGCTGTCTATTGGGAGGTTTCCAACGACGCTCCAGAAAAAGCCAAGTAGGTGACTGCGACAAGCACAGGAAAGACGCGCTTTAAAAGAAAATCCTCTAAAGCGGGCGCACAGGGAGACAGGGGTCATGGAAAGCCCCCGGAGGAGGAGAAGGACGCAGACGGTGAGATGGAAATTGTTGATGAACTCGCTACTGCTTTGTTTATTCTCCGGTGAGTTTATGTTTAATCGATTTAAATCCTATTCCACCTTTTCAAGCAGGTGGACGAGGCGTAATTTACCTTGTGTTGGCTTTAATGGATCTTCTGAATGTTTAATTAATGATGTGAAACGTCCAGACACAAATGCTGCAGAAAAATGAAACGTGTTGGCAAACTAAAGTCAATAATATAATTTATATTTAGAGCACAATTTAGGAAAGAAACATGAAAACCGCAGGAGAGTTTGTTGTACAGTGCTGCGCAGGGGGCCGGGGAGAAGACTAGTCCGTAGTTTGTGTGTGAAAAGGGGTGGGGATGTGAAGGACATGGTGCCATTGTCTCCCAGCGTGTGGAGAGACAGGAGCCAGGACCTCAGAGGACCACCCAGAAAGTGCTTGTGGGCCCTCCCTTTAAGCATTTACATGAAAATATCACCACTTTATGCATGGATGCAGTGTTTAATTTAAAAGGTGGGTCGACTGTGACCTCAGCCAAAAAGGAAACATCCATCAAAAGTTGCTTCAGTCACAGAAAAGCATGTGCTTGGTCATGTACTGTGAATTAAAGTTGTAAAGAGTTCCCTGCAAGACCAAAGTGTGTTTTCTCCACTGCATCCCCACTGTAAATTCTCTCCTGTGGTAGTTAAAGGCAGCACTCTTCTTTCTTCTATAGTTTTCTACCTGTATGTGAATGCATGTCTGGAAATGTGCATATATGCCTCCAGGCACACATCGTTTCAGTGCGAGTGATTGCTGAGAGGAAGCAGATCCTAAGCACATATGCACATAGCTTTCTGTTTTCTTTGCAGTGTCCTCAGTTGAAGTGTTCTGGATTGTGAAAGACTCCGACCTTCTGCATGACAGTGGAAAAACACAAATATTGCAGCTCACAGGGGGAAAAAAACCTTCAGATGAAAGGCTCATGTGGTGGCAGCAGGTTGAGGCGAGTTCATAGACAGGCACAGATGGGTGTGTGATGGTTTTGAACATGGAGCTGGGGGCAGGGGGTGAGCCACATTAATCACACATAAAAGCATGTAATAGATCCTTCAAATGCCAGGTCTGCTCATAGAAGGAGTAAAGTTGTTGGATGTAAAATCATCACACTGGATCATGAATTCTGTGCTAAATGTTGGCTCTTAAATCATCTTAAAGGCCTCCATGCAAAAACATGCACCTACACAACTCTCCACATTACTGTTACAGGGGTGCTTCAGCAGTTTAGTTTTGCATTAAGTTGGGGGACCCCAGGAGACAGAAAAGAATGGACAAAATCAGAATCAACTTTATTGGCCACGTATGTTTAGACAAGGAATTTGACTCCAGTACAGAGGCTCTCAGTGTGCTTTGTAAGGCAGCGGTAAATAAAAATGAATGTGTGTATTCAAATAGAAAACATGTGCAATCAAACAGGAGAAAGATTAGGGAAACAAAAGACTTGAGACATGAAATCAAAGCAACAGAGGCAGAGAATCTTGACTTCCTGACTTTGATTCTCTAGTGTAGCTCAAACACTAAAAATTCTGGATGCTACACTTCCCAGAATGCTACATGTCCTATGTCCTTTAAACCCCATGCCCTCAATTTGTAACAAATGCTTCCTGTTTCCAATTTGCAGTCTCCAAGTCCAAGCTGAGATGACCATGATATCTTATCTTATCTGGGGTTATTTCTTACACTTGGCAGAGCTCCTGTAGTCTCAGCCAGTTTTCACAGACCCTCATGTGTAAAATTGGTGGCAGTGTCCCTTTGAACCTGATACTTTCTATCAGATTACACTGATTCGTTCATCATTTGAATCATGTCTTTTTCTAGGTTAGTGCTGCAGTTATTGTCATCATTATTTACAACAATGAAATCAGAAAATAATGAAATATTCTACAACACATCTGTGCAAATTCTCAGTCATCCAGGTTGTAGTATGCTGAAAAAAATTTGAAGAAGGCATCTGGATGTAGTTTTAGGTACAACACAGTTTTTGATTGTCCTTAAATTTATGATCGATGACAAAATGGTGTTAACGTGCAATAGATTTGTTGGTTAGATCCAGGCAGTTTGCTGCTTACGGTGTTTGGTTCACCTGGTTAGCCATGCGGGCTGGGTTTTTTTTTTTGCCTCAGTCCGCCTAGACATGGAAAAATAAACTAGGTAGGTGTACTGTTAACATGGGGTAATGCTGCATAGCAGTTACATGGCAACCCCTGCCATGTAACTATGTAATCTTTGTATTGTATTACATTATGTTTAGAAAGCATTCTTCAAGACCATTGTAATTGTGATCTAGATTCAAGAAAAGGAGAAACTCTAATGCACAATTGAACTTTCAGTGGCTGGGTTCCTGTGTGAGTTCTGTGCATACACATACTCTTTTTTTCAGCTAGATTTTCAGCAGGTATTGATTACTTCTTTTTAAAACAGGCAAGTGTATTTCCACTTCTCGGGGCTTAATAAACCAACTGTCTTCCTACTTTTAAATGTGTCTTTGAAGGTATTAGTGGAGGCTACATGTTGAGGTCCTTTGAGGTTATTTCATGAAGGGTTTCATTATAACATTCAAATAGTTTTTTCATCAGTGGAAAGGTTTAAAAAGAGTTTCCTAGATAAAGAGACCCGACTTAATGGTTACTTTTAAGAGCTTTGCTTTATTTTAACTGGATACTTAAGACAACAATTTGAAATGTACCAGTGACATGGATTGAGCATTTTTTTTAAATGACCTTGTTTGCAAATAAGCACAGCATATTTTATTCTTGATTTTTTTCACTAGCGCTTATAGGCCTCATCTGTGCAGCTGGTTTCTCTTTGGTTTTCTGTTGGTGACTTGTGAAAATGTGACACCCTGCATTAGCATGTTCTTATGTGTATGGCTGTGTGTGTTGCAGGTAGTAGTGAGGCTGTGTGTGAAAGCTGTCATGAGTACTGCTGCGATGGGTCGCCGCCTTTCTGCTGCTCCTACTACGCCTACGTTGGGGACGTCCTGTCGTAAGTTGATGCAATAAGCAAATTAAGACCAGATATTTACATTTGAAACATTTTTTGACACAACTTGTAAGTGATGATAATGGGATCCAAGTAAACAGTTGTTCATCTAAAAAAAACCCTGACATTTGTAAATCTGTGTGCTGTCAGAAACCTTCATGATGATAGAACAGTGACCGACTCAGGCAGCTACCTGCATCAAAGGGAATAGCGTATGTCATCATGTTTTTTTGTCCTGTATCTATTCAGCTACACTTCTTACCATAAAGAGAAGCTTTGAATGCTCTTCTTTAACGTTTCAGTGTCAAAATGACCTGACAGTGCTGGTTCCCATAGCATGTTTAGAATCTCTGCACACATCCCTATAAGTTTTGTGCAGTTCTGGTAGGAAGGCTTGAATGAGATACAGCTGCCGTTTAACATGCCAGAAGACTCTCGCTTTGACCTCTGCCTGCCCTGACTCAGAGCAGCTCCTTTAACACTTTCACCCAGTTCTCATACATAACAATTTTAATCATCTATGTATTTGTAATCTCTTGTGGCAGAATTAGGTATTTGCACTAATATTAGTGCAAAATCTTGAGGCGGCAGTGACAGTCAGTTTGCTGCTCTTGAAAACAGCCAAGGCTGAATGTGACATGCTGACTAATGCTGACTATGAAGACGTGCTAATTATGACTGCATTTCTATTTTGTATTGCCAGTTCACAGACTCATCTGCAGTACAACACATCACATAGCTAGGTTATATCAGATGCTGCAGTCAATCTCCATGGCAGCGACACATAAGTATTGATAGGATGTCTGTTTGACACACCTGCCTGAGTGGCTTATATTGTGTGTGTCTGTGTGTTCCAGGGGCACTGCCATCTCTGGGATTGTTTTTGGTGTGGTGTTTCTGATGGGGGCTGTGGCAGCCCTGTTCCTGTGCGTGTGTATGTGCATGAAGAATGGGCGCGGCGCACGGGTCGGTGTGTTCGGTACATCCTACATCAACACAGTGACCCAGGACTACCCTGGTGAGTCTCGTTACTGAGCAAAAAATAAATGATTTCTTAATATTAATAAAGTAAAAGTAGTAAAAAATTGTGAACTTAAGCTCCCTTTTTGTATATTAAATATGACTTGAAGTTATAGCAACTTGTTTTTCACACATTTTCAAGAGGTTTTACTTAATAAGCAGTTATTAATAACATTTTATGCACTAAGGCATAATTTATTGATACAATAATTGTCACCATATTTACAGTTAATCTTTAATTTCTGATTTATAAAGTATTATTAGAACTTAAAATTTGATTCTTTTCTTGGTTTTGTTAATTTGAATGTTTTGGGGTTAGTTGGTCACACAAAACAAGGGGGCTGTATTTTAGAGAACTGATTAATCAAGAAAATAATAGGCAGAATGATAAATAATGAAAATCAGAAATTGTTATTTGAAGCCCTATTTATATAGTATTCTTATCAGAAAGAGGCTCCAGTTTATTTTTAGTGGCTTTATGATGATTAACACACGCAGTCGTAATCTGTTCTGCTATGGTGAAACACCATCTCCTGACCTCAGGCTACCTGAGAGGACAAGAAAGCAGCAGGTGTAAGAAAGAAAAATAATAGGTTTAAGTTGTTATGGGTTCCACCTTGGCCTTGAGCATTATTCCCCACCAGTAACACAAAGGGAAAGCTGATTGTTGTCAAAATGTAAAGGCTTCAAACCATCTCCAGTGACACGAGCTCTGTACAGGCATTTAAGGCATATACTTTTGAAATTCACATAAATGCACCTCATTTCCTCTCCTTTCACCTTCTACCTCCTATTTTAGCAAATCTTTTTTTTTTTTGCCTCCACTCTCACTGTTTCACGTCCGTTAGATTCTGTTCCTGCTAGTAGAAAATGGCGACATTATTTCCACATTGCATTCACAGGTACATACATCAGAGTCGGTACACTGTGACACTCTGTAGCCTTAGTGATGCTGGTTTTTCTGTGGCTTATCATTTATTTATCATGTTTCATTCCCTGTGTATCGCCTTCATGCTACACTGGGCTGCCACTATTCACTCTGTTCTGATCATGTTTCATAAACATGACATTCAAACATGAAAAGAGAGGCAGTATGAATGCATATACTGTACAGTGATATGAATCATTTTGTAGCTTGACACAAAATGTGAGGTGCTGTTGCGCTAATATTTTCCTGTACCACTGTCACAAACATGACTATCTACATTTATTCGTCATTAGTGCTTAATTGTGCTTAATTTATTCACTAGTTTCATTTAAGTAACAGTGATATAAAGATATAAAATATTTACTAAATAGTTTTTTCTTATCTTGCTTTTCTTTTTAAAAAAATCTTCAGGATGATTTCAGGCACCTTCCTGTGCTGATTGCAGTCTCTTAGTTAAAACACTAGAGGGCGAACCTGTCCTATTAAACTCCCTGCAAAATGAGGATGGTACCTTGAGCTGAACTGGGCCTCATTCATCATTAATCACACTAAAAAAAAGTGTGACTTTTGTAAATATTATAAAAGGAAATGAATAGTTTTGAGCAACTTGCTGAACTAATGCTTCTTTCTTTCTTGAACTCAGGTCCTCCACCTCCTTACACTTATGACTATGAGATGTACCCTCCTGTGCCGAACCCCCCTCCCTACGCCCCAAGTCAACCTCAGCCACTGCACTACTCGCCCCCACCTCCTTACCCTGGCTGCACCCGCAAGTGAATCCCTGCTGCACAGATCATCTGCCAGCAAACATCAAAAGACACTCTGGTGGCTGGGTTTTCCAGGCCTAGAGATGGCTACCCACTTCTGGACTCCAAAGCAGAGGTGTTGCTACTAGGATCAAAGACTATTCTAAGGACCCACGAACATTTCCACATTAAAACAAAGGGTGGCCCAGTGCAGTATTGCTCAGCAGGAGTCTGGACCAAATGGTGGGGAAATAGGATTTTTAACAAGCTCTGGGTGTAGACATGTAACACATTCTAACAGACTTAACTATTAGCAGCCCTGCCAGCCTACAGCTGGTACTTTTTTCCCCACTCACAACCAATATCCTTATCTGTCACTGCCTGTGCACATCAAAGGCAGTGTGCTACTTTGAGGAAGGTGAAGACCACTGTTGTCAGCAGGGAGAGGGACCTCAGCACCACATAGTCTTTTCAGGACACCGTAAATTCTACTTTTATTGAAAGTTAGCAATTGTTCCTCCCCATTTTATTTTAAAACTTGATTTATGTCAGTGACTGAGGTACTGTAGTTGATTAAAGTTGTATTATTGGGTCTGGACCTGCTATGTGTAGACATAAAAACTTGAACATGATGCATAATAGTACTGACTACTTAAGTGACTTGGATGGCTTGAAAGGCCTTGGGTTTTTATTGTACTTAAAACAATGTGAAGGTGAAAACTGAACTGAGGTCACATTACTTTCAGTTGAACTAAAGTGGCTTCTCTTTGAAATGGATAAACTGTAAATCTTTTGCCTTTGTGAGATTCATAAATTGTGAAATATTCATTTGAATTGTAGTTGTAGAGCACCTGAGGTTGAATTGCCCTCATTGTGCAATGACAATTTAATGTGATGGATGACTGTGTTAAGATGGAAGAGATTTACCCGTGTTAATGCCAGCTAAAAGTGTTTCCTTACTCTTTTGGTGGATGTACTGGAAATTAAAGATGTGATCAAAATGCGACTTTATTTACAGTCGTGTACAGTATCTATGTAATTATATGAATAGTCCAGTCAATAATGTACGCACATGTGCGCGAGGCGGTAGGATACATGCGTCGTCTATGACAATGTGAATACATGTGCGCGAGGCGGTAGGATACGTGCGCTATTCAGTTTGATAGCGTACACAACAGAATAAAGTGCGTGTATGACAGACTGTGTGTACGTGTGTTAGTTAATCCCACTCCGCTGTGGTCAGGTGATCCGGCGCTTGAGCAGCTGTGCAGCCTCGGTATCGCTCACCGTCAGACAACGGGAGTCACCGGCGCTGAGTACACAGTTTCTCACCAGACGTAAACGTTAAACCGTTCAGTGAAACGACATGGGGGACAGAGTAGTTTTACTGCTGCTGGCTGTAGCGGCTTCGACTCTGGCTGCCGAGGTAAGCAAATCCATTTTGTGCGAAAATTGTTGTATTTTCCACGATATTGTTAGTGCCAGCTGAGTTAAGCTAGCTAAAACTAGCTACAACAGGGCCGGAAGCTTGACGGTTGTACTTTCAGAGCTAAAGCTTTGTATCTGTTGAGGGGGGTGAGCAAGGAAAATTATAAAAATCAGGCACTGTAGATATACATAGCAAATTAAGTAACTATATTTTAGCATGGTGCGGCTGTGGCTCAGGAGGTAGAGCGGGTCGTTTCCTAAGCGGAGGATTAGCGGTTCGATTCCCGGCTTGTCCAGTCAACATGTCGAAGTGTCCTTGAGCAAGACACTGTACACCCAGTTGCTCCCGGTGATGTCACCGGTGTGTGAATGTGTGTGTTTGGGAGTGCGAATGGGTGAATGGCCAAATAATGTGAAAGCGCTTTGAGTGTGCTGTAAAGCATAGAAAGGCGTTATACAAATATAAGACCATTAACAAATAGTATATAGGATATGTTAGTGTCTTTATCTGCTGTTGCATGCGGTGGACAAAAACAATATCTTGAGAGCAAATCCTTCGTAGTTTCCACATCGTTACATTGGACAAAGTGTCGAATCTTTTACGTTGAACGTTTTAACCGGAAGTGTTATTGGACAATCATTTGGCACAGATTGTAAATACTTGGATATGAACACACACAGCGGAAAGTTTTTGCCATTTGCTGTTTCCTTTGTAATCAAAACCCCCAGAAGCCCAGTATTTTGACAGAAAATACTGTAAATTCCCTGTTCAGATGCTCGGTACTTCCTTTTCCCAGACAAAGTCTCCCTTTAAGCATGTGGCAACTGACCCATTGAGACTAAGTAACAATGGAGTGAATGTCAGATACCGATGCTTGAAAGCAGCACCCATAATGTGTCCCCTTTATTTGTGTTAAACTGAGAATCAGCTTGATTTTTTTTTCCAGATTTCAGATGTCATAAATTAGTGTCAGCAAATTCTAATACGGCGATAATTGTTCTGAACGCCGCTGTTGTTGAAGCGGCTATTTACCGGTCATTGGGCCTAATTTAACCTTCTAACCGTGCACATCAATAGTTATCACAGTAAATAAATGAAACGCGTAATATTAACATGACAGATTTTTAAGAGTGGGCGTGTTTTGTGAATTAAATAAGTGATTAAGACACCCTGACTCACAACAAAGACTTAACGTATGTTTGTGGCTTGACCAGAATAAACGAACCCGTGAGGATGTTACGATCTATGGAAAACAAATTTTATTAACGCTCT